TAACAGTGTTTGTCTGTGTCACGTCGCTCTATTTGGCAATTAATTGAATCAGCATATGCAAATGGATGAAATTAGCACAGTTAATTAATGTTACCCCAAATGGCATAATGAAGATGTTTCATAGTTTTATAAAGCTCATATTCACAGGTTTGGAGTTGTAGAGGAAATCTGTTTTGGAATTTGAATAAGTAAATCCTTCAGCATAATTCATATATGTATTATTGCTCTTCGATGCAATAATAACTCTCTCTGAATTTGCTAAGTAGAGAAATTATGATATGAGTTATTGCAAAATTTATTCTTGATTTGATTTTATATGAGTTTAGAAAATGTGACAATTAACACGATTAATTAATTCCATCTCTCATTTCAGCGGTAGGTGTGTCCTCTGACTCACCACATTAGGAGTTTTTTAAGTTATTAATAACAATTTTAAAGCTTCATATTTGATATCAACGACCTTACTTTCCCACCAGGTAAACAGAATCTGTTTTATTAACAGGGCTGGTTTGTGTAAGTTTGGGTAAATAGTAATCCTTGTGTTTGATATAGCCCCTCATCACATCGTAGAAACATTTCAAAGTGCTTCACGGGATTTAACATAGGGACATAGGAACAAGAAGAGGCCATTCAGCCTCTCAAGCCTATTCCGCCATTCTATAAGATATTGGCTGATCTGCACCTCAACTCCAATTACTCGCCCTTGCCCCATATCCTTTGATACCCTGACCTAGCAATTATACCCTTACCTAACAATTCCATAATATTTATAAACGTGTCTACCCAGCCCAAAAAGATGGGACGTGATCTAACACACTGACAGAATGATTGGATAGGCTGAATATACCTCCTTCTGTTGCTGTGTTTCTATGATATTAACGTATAAATGCCAACAAAACTAACAGAACTTTTAAATGTGTGAAATCCATAGAGTATGAAGCCCTGTCGGATTACGGAAAGTATTTCAATCTGGGGTCTGAATTCTTGTGATTAATTATATCGACTGAACCCATGGATTGGCCTCAGTCGCAATCTCATTGTCAATGTTCTCCATTGTCTTCACTCAAGTGAAAGTGACTAGGATTTCTCTGGCACGTGTGTGACACACACGCGATGAAATATGGGCTCCCTATCTTCAGGCCTTGAACAATCGAAAACAATGCTGAAATGTTATGTGGAGTCCTGTAGCTCAGTGGTTAGAGCACTCGCCTCGCACGCGAGAGGACCAGGGTTCGATTCCCGGAAGGGCGAAATATTGGGCAAGTTTCCTTACTCCACACGCCTCTGTTTCCCCAGCAGCAGTGTTGTTAGTCGATTGGCGGATCGCTTTTCCGGAGGTAATAATTCCTTCAAAAACAAATAATAATAATAATTTGGTCACTCAATCCACGGCTGTTTGTGGGGACGCTGCTGTGCCCAATTGGCCGCCACGTTTCGTCCACAAAATATACAGTCAATTCACTTTACAGTCTATCCTGTGAAGCACTTTGAGACGTCGAGAAGACATGATAAGATGCTGTATCAAATGCCAGGATTATTATTATCATTATTATTATTATTTGCAATTCCGATCAAAGATAGACGGGTTGAAGAAGATCGTGTGGGGGAAGGAGAGGACCAAACACTCTGTGGTCTGTAGGGTAGAATGAGGAGTCTGACAGAAAACTCCCCCGATGGTGTAACATCAATGCCTGTGCAGCTTTGATCTCCGAATGAGCTCCTTTTGATTGCAACTCTCAAAGTGTCGGCCGTCCCTCCTGAGATTTACAGAATCGAGGTTTTACTTTCATCTCTCCATCATTAGTGCTGCTTACACAGGAAGTTGACACTTCCCAAAGACCACTGGGAGATCCTGCTCTAAGGCTGAATTCTAAGTCTCCAACATTGACTGAAATTCCTCAACAATTTTCTCCTTTCTTTTGCGGTTTAAGTGAAAAAAAAAGAGAAGCACGGGTTTTCAGAACGTTCTGTCCCACTCTCCTGGAACGCATCCCAGTACAACGTAAACATCTTTTATATTTAAATAGTATTTGCTAACTTGTGCTCTCTTACATCTAACCATTTGTAAGATATTGATGGAATCAAATCTATTGCTTCTGAGGAAAGAACCAAGGCACAAATCAAAGGCGTTTGGATACGTGGATCAGTGGAATTCTCGCAGTTTTTATTGATGAATGGCTTTGATTTTTTTTATGATAAATCGTACTTATTTACATTCACTTTTCCCTGCACTGGCCCTCTCTGATCTTATGGGTGAGCGGAGATTATAGCCAGTATTTCCTCGCGAAGTGACTATAATAATAATAATAATCCTTGCATTTGATGCAGCGTTTTATCGCGTCTTCGAGACACCTCAAAGCACTTCACAGAATATATTGTAAAGTGAATTGACTGTGTATTTTGTGGGCGATAGACCCTGTATAAGATATTAGATCATTAGATCGTTGTGAGTAAGGCTGAAGTCTTACAGTTTAACGTCTCTCATTGGAACATTATTTGGCAGCTGTCTGACTCTAAGTGTCACTGAGACACGGGGAGGAAAGAAACTGTAGGCTTCCTTCAACTGGGTTGGCATATTTTCAGAGCCCTCATATTAAAGGGATTTCTGAGATAAAGTCCTCCCCGTAATTGTCTTAATTGGTGCATTCATCAATGTGATTTATTTTGTTCAAGCAAATTTTAATGGAATGTAGTCATTTGAATACTAGAAACGATTGGATTGTCTTGAATAGTAATGTACAGCAGTAATTAGTGAATGGCTCAGTAACGTTGGATACTGCAAGTAAACCCCACCTAATTCAAGAGGTCTTCTCAGTCTAGAAAAGGCTTATTTCTGGGACATGCAAATTCAACTTTTTTAACCATTTTCTAAACACGAACGAGGATATTAATGAAAACAAGTAACTTAATTACGTTGATTAACAGGCATGTGCCCATGATAGCTACCACTGATGGTCTCAAATTCCAAGTGGATAATAATAATAATAATAATCTTTGCATTTGATATAGCTCCTTATCACGTCTCAAAGCGCTTCACAGGATATACTGTAAAGTGTAGTGACTGTGTATTTTGTGGGCGAAACGCGGCAGCCAATTGCGCACAGCAGCGTCCCCACAAACAGCCGTGGATTGAGTGATCTGTTTTTTTGGGGATGCAAAACAGCAATGCTGATTCATGTGATGTGCCGCTCCTTAAATCTAAAAATATTTTGATACGTTTGACGTCTTTGGGTGTTTAAAAGACAACGTGTTTATTTCAGATAAATTAAAAGAAGGCCATTCATGTTTGTTGGACAGAAAAAACATCTTGTTTATTGTTGGGGGAGACGGGCGGGGTGTTTTTTACATTACACATTGATAAGGTGCAAAGATCACAAGACTGTGGAGCTGACAGGACTCTTGACTTTCACATGATAACATAGAATCATATAATCTTACATTACACAAGGAGGCCATTAGGCCCATCCAAGGCCCTGGGCTGACTCTTTGAAAGCTACCAACTAGTCCCACTCCCCCCGTTCTTACCCCTACCCCACAGCCCTGCGAATGTTTCCTTTTCAGAAACATACAAACATAGAAACAGGAGTAGGTTATTCAGCCCCTCGAGCTGTACCTCAAGTCCAATTACCTGCTCTTGCCCCATATCCCTTAATACCCTGACCTAACAAATATCTATCTACCTCCGTCTTTTAAGTACCTATCCAATTCCCTCTTGAAAGCTACTATCGAATCTGCTTCCACCACCCTTTCAGGCCGTGGTATCTCTTTGCGGTTGCTCCAATAATAATCATAATATGCCTTTCTATTTGATATAGCACCTTATCACATCATTGAGAAGTCTCAAAGCGCTTCACAGAATATACTGTAAAGTGGAGTGAGTGCCCGTGTTTTGTGGATGAAACGCGGCAGTCAATTGCGCACAGCAGCGTCCCCACAAACAGTCACTGGGGGATTGAGTGACCAAATTATTATTTATTTATTATTTTGTGGGTGAGAAGGGATCGTTACCCCCTTAAATTATTATAATAAATTATTATAATAATAATAAGCCAGCGTTTTATCACTTTATTGAGACGTCTCAAAGCGCTTCCCAGATTACACTGTAAAGTGAATTGACTGTGTATTTTTGCGGGTGAAATAATTGCACCTCAGAATTATTATTATTATTACTATTCTCCCACAAAATACACAGTCTATACACTTTACAAACTGCACCGGCTCCCTGTCCCAGAGAGGATCGATTTCAAGATCCTCACCCTCGTATTCACCTCTGCACCCCCCGACCTCTCTGACCTCCTCTCTCCTCAAAACAGTACCCGTTGCCTTCGTTCCTCCGGGTCTGGCCTCCTCCTCGCCCCTCGAGTCCTCCGCTCCACCCTCGGCGGCCGTGCCTTCAGCCACTATGCCCCGAGGCTCTGGAACTGCCTTCCTCACTCCCTTCGTCTCACTTCCTCCCTTCCCATTTTCAGGTCTCTGCTGAAGACCTTTCTTTTCGACCGCACCTTTGGTCACCTTCCCCCCCACTCCCCCTCCCCCCGGCTCCTTCCCCTCCCCTCGGCTCAGTCCTGGGATCCGTTACTGTAAAGCCCTCTGAGACGCCGTCCGGGGTGGAGGGCGCTATATACATCCAAGTTGTTGTTGTTGAAGCGCTGTGAGACGTCTCAAAGTACGTGCTAAGGCGCTGCATCAAATGCAAGGAGCATTATTATTATTATTATTATTATTGCCATTATCAATAATAATGCCTTGAAGACAGACAGCCAGGGACTGAAGCTCTTAACTCTGGTGCCTGTAATGAACACAGTTGATAAATGATTATCCCAGAACATGAGATCAAAGGACATTTGAGACCAAAGCTGTGAGCAGTGAGAGAGGAGTGAGTGAGTGAGTGACTGGTGCTGTGTCAGTGGTTGCCTTCTCTGCTTGTTTCTGGGTGTGAGACACACACACACACTGCACCAGCACTCGCTCTCCAGTGATGCATTTCCGTTCATTGACAGCAAACCAGGCTTTGGGGAGAGGACCTGAGAAGGGAAAACAATTCCACAGCTAAAAAACAAAGCACACCTTCATTCCAACCCTGGTAAGCTCTTACCTTTTTCCCCCTTTGCCTTGAAAATAAAGCCCCTTAGAAGATAGGATGAATTCCCCCAGAGCTTGTGGCTCTGGGATGGGTGGCTGCAGTGGATGGGTGTCTCAAGGGTGTTTAAAGGGAAAGGGAGGAGACTGTATTAATATTATGCGATGCTCATGGTTTAATGCGAACGAGAGGGACTGAGGTTTATTGTATAATTTAATAACATGTGTATGTATATATCTCAGTTGGGTTATTTCCTTGAGGTTGTGTTCAGATCTCTCTCTCTGTCTCTCTCTCTCTCTTGTATTGTTAAAGAGCCTCATCTCATCTCAGAGTCATTCTGTTTTTTAAATTCATTCATTCATTAATTTTTTTTATAGAAACAAATCACGTTTTTTTTCAACAACCTGATTTGTTTTATTTGATTTTTTTTTTCTTCCCTTAAAAAAAAAACCCATCGCGGTTTCGATGAATGTGTGTGAAAGACTGGTTGAGCAGTGATGGATGGATGGATGATGGATGGATGGATGGAGTGGCAAGGGGTCATTAATCATGGCTGGTGGGGGGAGAGGGAGGGGGAGGGGGTTTAGGGAAGGGGGGGAGAGACAGAATGAGAAAGAAATGAAAAAGAACAACCTGAAAATGAACGCTGAGAATGAAATGCTAATAATAATAAGCCTTGGGTTTGATTTGGCGCCTTATTATGCTTTCGAGACGTCTCAAAGCGCTTCACAGAATAGACCGTAAACTGGATACCTTGCGGGCAAAACCCGGCAGCCAATTGCACATAGAAACGTCCCATAAACAGTCGTGGATTGAGTGGCTACAAAATTTTTTTGGGGGGGTGGTGTGGGGTGGTGGGGAGGGATTATTGCCCCCGGAAAGCGATCGGCCAATCCAGTAATGAAACCTAGTGCGATGGTCCAGGGGGCAGGACTTCTAACAAAGAGGAGACAGTCTGGGAATTTTTAAGAGATGGACTCGTGGAAAAACGTAAAGGGGAAATTGACACAAAAATATTTATTTCTTGATCTTGACTGTAACCCGGACTCCCAGTCAGTGTGTGTCTGTCGCTGTCCAACATTTCAGCACCTTCCCATTTATTAATCACCATTTTGCAGAGAACTCAATGTGAAGTTGGGCAGGAAAGCTTACATGGAAAATTAGCTGTTAGGCTATCGGTGTTTTATTTTTTCAATAATGATAATCCTCGCACTTTGATATAGCGCTGTATCACGTCGTCGAGACGTCTCAAAGCGCTTCACAGGATATACTGTGAAGTGGATTGACTGTGTATCTTGTGGGCGAAATGCGGCAGCCGATTGCACCCAATAGTGTCCTACAAACAGCTTTGGAGTGAGTGACCTATTTTGGTCAGGAAAGATTACCACTGGTAGTTTATTTTAACATTGTGAATCAGGATTTTCCCGGGATGGAATCCTCAGTGTGTTTTTGATATACTCTTAAGCAAGGTGATGAGCTTCCACGTGTGCCAGACACCCGGTTCGACCAAAAAAAAAAGGCCCATTACAGCAACCTTCCTGTAAAGTAACTCAATATCTCAAATATTTTGAGGACTTATGATCTGATAAAGCGCTTTATCAAATGCGAAGATTATTGACTTTATTTACCAATCGTTTCCACGATAGTTAACGAAAAATCAAATCATTCATTGAAACCTTACAGACAGATTATCATCATTGTGGATGTGCCTGTTTTTATAAGCCTCTCTTAAAACCTGCTGCAATTTTTCAGCTTCACAAAGGCAGTCAGCATGTTAACTGTCCAACATGTGAAGCCACGTGAGGTTCCTTCAAGCCCTGTGTTTAGTGACGGAAAAGTCAATGCTCAAATGAGAAACAAGGCGACGGGAGGCGCAGAACTCAAACAAGACAAGAACTTCAACTTTGTGGAGGAGTCCTGCGACAAGAACGAGAACGTTGGCCAGTGTCAGGCGGGCGGAACTGCCCTCCGAGAGATGGTCAGTCAACTTGACAACGGCGTCCAGGCAAAGTGCGAGCCCGACGTCCAATTGGGGAGAGATGCCGCCTGCTTTGTCGCTGCCGCCGATTCTCCGGGTTTGGAATCGGGTCGACTCAAGCCACTCTCCGTTGAAAACGTGCGGATGTCACCGGGAGTGACCGGAACGGGTCACGGCAACAAGCCCAACGCGGCCAAGGATTACGAAGAGTTTGCGGTCTCCCCTTCGGATGACAATGGCTACTCCAGCAGCTGCTTGAGCATCGAAAGCCCAGACAGTGTTGATGGAAGCATTTGGGAGGTGGCTGAGACTGTGCAGAGAGATGACTTCACCGCCTGGCAGCAGAACGAGGACGTCAGCGTCGAGAAAGTCCCGGGGTCTCTAACCGCCTCGGGCTCCTTCTTGCCTTTGCTGCTTGAGGCAGTGCAGAACCTTCAAGAGAAGCAGAGGTTCAAGGAACAAGAGAGAGAGAAGCACCAGACCCAGGTCATCATGTACCGAAGGCTGGCTCTGTTGCGTTGGATCCGTAACCTCCAACAGAAAGTAGTCGACCACCAAAGCCGCCTGCAGGAGAGCTACGACACCATCCTAAGCAATCGCAAAGAACTGCTCAAATTCATCAAACAGGGTGTCATCTAGCAGCAAGTCGGCTAAGACACAGCGAACGCAATGAAATGTTTGGCTGTTGAGACATATGTGTGTGTAAAATAAAAGAATGGCAATAGATATATCCCGTGATGCGCTTTATTGAGACGTCTCAACAACACGATAAGGCCCTATATGAAAATGAAAGGATTACTGTTATTATTAGTAGCCGTCGACACAAATGTAGAGATTACCGCGGGCCACATTTGCCCCCCCTCCCCCCCATTTCATCTGGCCCAACCGCTCACTCCCTAACCCGTAAATGTTGTGTTACGTTTCTGGAAGAGAAACACAAAAATATTGCTTACTTAGGCCATGGACGTCTCCCAAATAGCAAGCGAGAGACCTGGGTTCGATTCCCGGCAGGCTGAAACCTTGGGCAAGTTTCCTTACTCCGCACACCTGATAATAATCCCTCAAGAAAAAAAAATCAATAATAATGTGGTCACTCAATCCACGACTGTTTGTGGGACTCTGCTGTGCGCAATTGGCTGCCGCGTTTCACCCATAAATATACAGTCGCTATACTTTACAGTATATTCTGTGAAGCACTTTGAGATATCTAGAATTATTATTATTATTGATGTGTGCCAGACCCTGTTATTTATCCAGCTTTTTTTTCTCTCTATGCAATCTTTGGTTCACATGATTTTGCACAATTAAGATCTTATTTAGCCCTTTAAGCACTTGATACACATTCCTTGTTTCGAAAAGTACAAAGATGTTTTGCGGCACAAATTATACAGTCAATTCACTTTACGTTGTATTCTGTGAAGCACTGTGAAATGTCTCGAAGATGTGATAAGGCGTTACATCAAATACATGGAATATTATTGTTCAGTTTCTTTAATTTGATGTGGGAATGGAATCTGCCAAAGGTTAAAAGTTTCTGTTTGCAAAACTAGTGCACTTGCATGTCTTAAAGTGTGTGATCAGCAACCAAGCAAAGCTCTGTGAAAAACTGTATGTGTTGTAATAGACCTTTAAATAGAAAAGTTAACATTAGTATATTAAAAAAACACACTCTGGAACTACCGAGATGTATCGGGTGTCTTTTCGGGTACGTTGTTCAATGGGTAGTGTGTGCAGTCGTGCGTGGAGGATGCAGTGCAAAATACCATACAAAATTACACTTGTAGAGCGCCTTTCACACCGCGAGGACGTCCCAAGGCACTCTTTAGGATGCGCACAGCTCAGGTGTACAGATGAACCTGTATTGACCAAGTAGCACATTCCACGGGACAGCTGAGCGTTCTGTACAGCAGATGACACGACATGAAACAGTGGATCTCTGTGAAGCGAGCATTGAGTTTTTGCAAGGCATTTGAGGCCGAACACTGACTCATTCACAAGACCGAATCGACCTCATTACGGACAGAAAAGTGAAACACAAAGAAAGATTGAATAATTGAGCTGTCCTGGTGCCATTCAGACTGGGAACGAGATGACCTTTTACTGCAGGGTTTGCTCGTGTATATATATTTACTGTAGATCAGCCCACATGATAATTCTGTTGTGAAATAGGTACCCACCACATTCCAGTGATTTCAGCTCTCACACACACACATATATATATATATATATATTGGTGAATTTTGTGGAAGTGTAATTCTGAAAGTTTTTTTCACAAATATGATCTGATATTGCGATTATTAGTACTTGTCGACATTAGGTGTACAAATCAGCAACATTACTCCATGTTTGTGTTTCTCGATCAGGGATACAAACCCTTAAACCCTTTCCATGGCTAGAATTCACAACGAGTAAGCTTTGGTAAATTTAGTTACGTTAGTGACTTTAGTAAATTTAGTTGCTGTCAAATGTATTTGGTCAGATTTGGCAGTATTTAAAATAAATTGTTTCTGTTCACATTTGGTTCAAGTGTCTCCCATGACATCTGAGAGCAAATACTCTGTCTGTGTCTGGGACTGAGACTGATCAAGAATAAATGTCTGTATGAGTAAGGTTTAATAGAATGGGAGCAGCTGTCAAAATTAATTTGGTGTTAAATTTGGTGCATCATCTACATTAAACAGTTTAAAAGTGAAGCCTTCTGTCTGTCCGTGCCCCCTGTGAAACAAAGTTAATAATGATCATGAATATTCAATAATTTCTGCACTTTATTTGAACAAAAGAGGTAGATTATATAATGTCTTGATTTAAAGTACCTTTAAACATTGCCAGCCAAACCGTTTTAGAGACAAGCTGACGATATTGATCTTTTTATCATGTGCGCTAATGCTTGTAAAAGTTTTATTCAGATTTTCCCTCTCTTTCCACCCCAGTAGCTGCTAAGCTTCATCTTTCTGTCAGCAAGGACAAGCAGCAGAATCGTGCACAGCCGTGGTTCAATCAATGGTCCAAACAGGTCAATGAGGCTTTCCAAGTTTATATTCAAGGTCGCTTTTCTGGAGGTAATTATTCCTTCAAAAATATTAATAAAAACAATAATAATCATTTGGTCACTCCGCCCACAACTGTGGGTCACTGCTGTGCGCAATTGCCTGTTAGTCCCGCTCACAAAATATACAGTCACTACACTTTACAGTATACCCCATGAAGCGCTTTGAGACGTCTCGAAGGCTGATAATGCGCTGAATCGAATGCAAGGATCATTATTATTCTTATTTTCCCATTCCGTGCTTTTTGATGATCCATAAAAGCTGCGCAGACTCGAAAGAACTTTCCTCTGTACCTCGAGCCTCGAAGAATTGATCCACTTTAATATCATTTGTTACGCAAAGGCAAAATGGTGAGCGGTGTACATCAGATGCAAAACTAGGCAGTCTTTGTGTGTGGATGCGATGATACGGATTGAACCCACTAACCACATACTGTGTAGCTGAAAGTCATAAGGCATCTTATGACAAATAAACAGCACAGCTGCTGTCACAATAGAAACATTGTAAACACGGCGGAGATTAAATATTTATAACCCATTTACAATAGTTATCATATTTCTGGGGTGGGGAGGGGGAAAGAAAGAGAGACTTCATAAACCAGACATGCAATAGGGCGAATAATGAAGCATTTAAACCATGTTGTTTACTGAGCTGAAAGTCAGTTACTGGAGAGAGAGAGAGAGCGCGAGAGAGTACAGACCGTTCAATGAAATGCACATAACTGGTCTGCCAAGAAAAGCTATGCTTGGATTAGGATTTTGTTGGAGAGAATTTGTAGATTTTTGTACCATTTAGTCATTCAGTCTGCAAATTTAATTTCAATAAAAACTGCAGAAAACCACAAGCTCAAACTGATTTTTACATAAAAGGAATTAGATTCTGAGAGTCTGCTCCTATCTACACACAGTGCACTGATTGAAACCAATGCCTTTCTAATGGTAGGTTAAAGTTTTTTCCACATTTGAAATGGTTTTGACTGCGTTGGGTCCATTTGAAGGATATTTTGAAGTTTCGGAAGCTCACTCGGCTCCTGTTAACCCTGCAGACCAAAGCCCTAACGAATAGGGTGGTCCTAGCTGGACAAGTCAGCGGGAAAGCTTGCCAGGTGGGCCTCTCGATGGCCAAGCTGTGCGGTTTTAGCTGGTAAGACTCCAATAGTTACCCCAACGCACACTCTGGGCTCCCCCCAAGCTTTGGATCTTGCACAACCTGCGCCTCATACTTTCTGGAATTAGGTAAACAGGATGTGACTCTCCAGGGAGAGAGAACGAACGCATTCCATTCCAACAATCTATCTCTGGGGATCACACGTTGGGGTTATGTGGCTAACGAGTTGAGAAGCCCATACTGTTAGAAAAAAAAACGTGCTGATACGACAGGGAAGACATTAGAGTTCAGGGCAATAATATAGATAATGCAGTGGACCACATCTAATATTATATGGCCAATGCAACTAATTAATTTACCTTAAAATTAAATATGAACTTGAAATCAAGGACAAAAACTGCAACAAGTAAACTCACGTAAGGGAAAATGTCCTTTAACCTATCATGCTACCGTCTCTTGCTGTTAAACTCTACGATAGGTTATTTGTGAGTCTTCCTGTGATAGAGAGCTCGCGCCTTGTATCACAGTGGCAATCTTACAACAGAGAATGCGCCTCACAGGATTGAAAATATACGGATTATTATGTAAGAGCTGTTAAAATAAAATCACATATATAAATATAGTAAAATCACAGTGTGGAATATCATAAACCCAGAATATCATAAAGATAAGCAAATCTCAGATGGAATAATAGCTGAGGTTTTGATCTGAAACCAAAAAGAATCAATTCTCCGTGAATTAAGTTTGAACCGCCTGTGGTTAAAGAGGTTTTACACACAACGTTTTATTGCAGGACAGAGTTCCAGCCGCTGTCTAATTCCTGTCAAGCAATAAAGGTCCATTTGGGAATAATGGACACAGCAGTAGAGATTTTGGCTACAGACGCCGAATGCTGTCATTGGCAATTCAGCTGAGGAGCTTTCTACACTGTTGGGCTTTTCTTTGAAACAGAGTAAGAATTTGTGGAGTCCTGTAGCGTAGTGCTTAATGCGCTCGCCTCGCAAGCCGGAAGACCCGGGTTCGATTCCCGGAAGGGGCGAAACGTTGAGCAGTTTTCCTTACTTCACATGCCTCTGTTTACCGAGCAGTGAGTAGAAGCCCAGTTGTTAGTCGATTGGCGGATTGCTTTTCCCGCGGTAATAATCCCTTCAAAAATAAAAAAAGTTTTCAAAATAATAATAATAATTTGGTTACTCAATCCACGACTGTTTGTGGGATGTTGCTGTGCGCAATTGGCTGCCCACGAGATACACAGTATACGGTATATTCTGTGAAGCTCTTTGAGACATCTCGAATACATAATAAGGCGCTGTATCAAATGCAATCCTTATTATTATTATTAGTAGATGTCAAGTGTTCCCCAGAATGGCCAAAGCTCCTTGGTGGAGGGTGGTGGCACTAGGGAAGGGAGGGTAACCAGGACTGATCAAAGCATATGTGAACGCAGGTACCCCTTGACCTGCCCAGGTCACCTTGTGAAGCCGGTTCTCCGCTAGGGGATTGGGTGCCATCGCAACTCGCACACGAGGGGAGCCAGTGTTGAGGATGTAGCCATGGATTCTGACCTCCTAT